GCGTCTCAAGACTGTGGTGACCAGTGCTCTGGACAGGATGGATTGACTTGCTTCAACGGCGTTCCGCACAGTGGCCAGCTTAGTGTTGTGCTCCGTCAATTCCGCAATGCTGCTGTCAGGCCAGTATTATCCTTGACCAAAGATGTTCGGCACTGGTGAAGGCTGTTGAGCTAGCGATCTCAACCTATCTGCACAAAGTAGCCAAATGTACGGACATGCAACTTGGGTCTTTTTGGCGGGCTTGGCAAGCCAGTGGCACCCGGCAGACCAGACACCTGTAACTATAGATGCTTGGGCGTGAGAGCGAAAGAAAGAAAAACAGATGTTTCTGAGCCAGAGTGCATATCGGGCACTGAGGCGAGACCAAACTTGGGGAAGGCCAACTGATTCATCCTGGCGCCAGAATCACCCAACCAAATTGGCATCGCTGACGTTGATGAGATTTGCACCAGGCACCAAAGGCAGAAGCCGGCCCTACAGTTAGTCATGCTCTATTCACAGCCGCCGTATTATCAGCCTGTTGTTTGATCACAATATATTCGGCTACGGTCTGACTACAAACCAACTGAGATCACGAGATTCTCGTTCCTCTTGACACTGTCATGACGGTAGTCAGGTCACTGGCCTTCACTTCGTCATTTTGACCATAGCGCACGAAAACTTTCGGACGCTTTCATTCGGCAAAGAAGGCTCGCCAATCGATGGACATTTCGCAGAACCAGCTCCAAGGTTCCGGGGTCCTTAATTTCCAAATCGAATCTGCCTACCTACGGATACAGGCTACAGGCGCCATGCGGGGAATAAAGAAACCGACTGTGATTGGTGCTACAAGCTGCAGTGGCTGCGTTGCACGTCGTGGTTGTCAAATCCGCGATGTCCGCCGTGGTGGCCGCTGCCTTTTCATGTTGGACCCACGGACAATGGGGCTCCTTGGATCGACATGACCGACCCCGGACTGAAGCAAAAGTGTTCCCAAGTGGCAATGTTGTACACTAGCGAAAGCGTGCGACTCCGAATATGACAGCTTTCGAGGTTGCGAGACTATGCAATCAGCATTAGATGTTGAGAAAATTGCGTGTTGAACACTGCGTATACGAAGTAGTGGTGAAGCGCCTTTGGACGTTTGAAAAGTTGAATAGGGGCTGTTCAGCTTCGGGGGAAGCATTGGGCTCGGTCGACTTGGCAATGCACAACAGTGGATTTGCGGTGCTGATCGAAGGTAACCTATTTTGCCTGTACGAGGGGCGCGGTCAGCCGGCCATCCATGCCCTGCATGCGATTTCGCGATAGCGACAGCATCGTGCGGGATGATGCCTCACATGATGAGCAAAAACCGCACCACCCGCTTTTCCAGGTGGAATCCATCCCAGACCTTTTCCGAGTGGCTTTGGTCAATTCATTTTCGGTAAGGTGTAGCTGATGTGTAGAAGCGGCAAAGAACTGGGAAGAGGCGTGTCTGGCGGCGGATTCAACGGCGCTTCTGAGTTCATACTCGCAGCCATTCTGACCGTTACTTGCGTCAGCCTGGTTTGCGTGCTTGTTGGAGTTCTTTTTGTTCCCTTCTCGTTGGACTAGCGGTTGTCCCTGGTTCGGAAGCTTCCCCTTTCCAGACCTATTCAATAGCAGCTGCAGGGTCGTCGTCTGGCGCGGCCTTTACCCAACACCCAGAACTCTCGCCGATTCCGCCGTCAGACCCATGCTAGGACGCTCGACCGCTGGGGCTGCCCACTTTGTAGAACCCACATGAATATTCATGGAACAGCGGAGACTTGGAGACGCCCAAAATTGGACGACTATGCGCTGTGCACTATCAGGTGCCGAACAGGTGCATCTGCCATATATTTTCCTCCTGAATGCAAAAGACAGTTGTAAATAAGTTACGAGGCTGCCTGCTCGTTGAGAACCGCGTGCGCACAGAAAAGTTTCGAAACGAACACGGGAAATGCGGGATGCGCAAAGACTCCGTCGTATCGAGCCTTGTCGCGAGCGAGGCAGATCTCTGGCGTGAGTACCTTGGTTACAAGAGCTAACCATTCCTAGTTGTACTCGGAGGTTGGCAGCGGGTTCTCGAACGAACTTCACTGCCTTTCTCTGGCGGGGATCATATTGGTTCCGTTCTTCTGGCAGGCCTTTGGCTGGTGGAGGCTACCCTGAAGTCCCTTCTTTTGGTTCTTCCTTTTACACAGGGTCGTGCGGCGGGGAAGGTGACGGGATCCTGGTCTCCAATGCCCGTCACACGGTCACAATAGGTGAGGACAGGGATCTCGGAGACAAGAATCTTTGCAAGCCTCAGGGTGGTGTTTGCGTGTCTCGCACGTTTGGATATCCCAGCGGATGCTTGGTCGAGGCAGATGTGCCGATGCGAATAGGGGGCTAGGCGAGGTCGTTAATGACAATGAGGCGAAGAGAAGGCCCAGGCTGGGCACCCCTCCGGATCAAGGTGAAACGAACGATTTCATTGCTTCATTAGCTACGCGCGTCGAGCCGAGAAAGAAAAAAGGGATGCGTTGAGATGGAGCCTGGATTACGTGCTGTGAGTTGGAGGAGCCGGCATCAGTTTTCGGGTGTTACTTCGAGCAGAGGTTGCAGGAGGCTGGAGGCGAAAGGATGGGACTTCTCTATTCCACGCTCTCAGCGAAAAGAATCGGTCTGCATGTTCTGAATTCCCGTGTCTCCGAAGGCTTAACAACAAGCGGTATGCTCACTGGGACATGAGCGACTTGCGTACCGGTTCTGTGGAGAGGCGGTGACCGGAGGTGACATGAAAGTGTAGCAGCGTTGCAAGACAGGTTTGACAGAGGCGAGATAGTGGCCAAGTTGGTCTGGGGTCGGGGGGGAAACCCTTGGCATTGATGTTGATGGAGTTCCGGTCGGATCTACTGTCTGTGTGCCGAAACCTGAAAGATGAACGTGGATCCGAACTGGCGAGGTCTCTGAAGGAAGTCGACGATGCAGATGGGAGCCGCGGGGTTTCCAGTTGGTGACACCGTGCCCTAGGTACCTTCCGGTCGGTCCTTCCCAAGAGAAAAAGAGGAATACACCGGAAGGAAGCCAAAGCTTTGCAATTGCTTGCATGGAGAGCGGGTGCCTTCTGCTTTCTTTTCCCAATGCACGGTACGTATCCGTACCTTCTAATTTGGTGAGGTACCTGACCGTTCTTTCCGTTTTCTTCGTCCTGCCGCTGCAGACCGTACTATGCATCTGCAGTAGCTGCACGTTGGACACGGGCACAAGCCGCACAACACGGGGCAGGTTGCATCGGTCCATCTGGTCGGTCGAGGAAGGTGCGACGAGACTTTGGTCCAGAGAAGATGACTGCCACTCCGTCCGTAACTGCCCTGAGGTTCAGACATCTGGAAGTACCATGGCGCCGACCTGTCCATACACTCTGTACCTTGCCCTCTGGCTACCTTCCTTGGGCAATATGTTGTCACCTGACGTGACCACCATCATGGGTTCATGATGGAAGTCACCAACCACCTTGCTTCGTACCTTACCATCACATCGATTGCATCAGAGCCGCGTCTTTCTGGAGGCTGGGCAGTTGACCGCCCACGAGCCATCGAGCGGTAGGTAGGTATGAGAAGCTGGTGGGTCGAAATCCCGTGTATGGCGGGCAAATGTTTGTGTTGGAATCTGGAGGTGAAATAAGGGCAATTGGATTTCCACATCAGGCTGGAGGCTCGTGTCAGCACCAGAAGCCGTCAATGTTGCTCCCTCACAGCCACTAGACGCGATGCAAATCTTGTCTTCGGCAATGGAAGCACGAGGGATTCTCAAGCATTGGGAATTCGACCGCCACTCCATTTACACCATTCGTGTCATTGTACCTGACCGCGGGGCACATCACTTGACGTTCCCGCAAACCACGGGCATGAGTGCGGTCGTTGTAATTGCTCCCGAAGCCACAGGGTCGTCTTTTGTTTCTTTTCGCCTGCGCAATCTGAGGAACCGGAAGTATTCACTCTCGACAAGGCTACTAAGATTCATCTGGGCTGCCAACTCTAATTTGGCCCAGCTTCGACCCCAGTTCCAGCTCCAGCTCTAGCTCCAGCTGTGGCTTCTGAAGCTTGGCATTATCGTGGCTCACTTTCATTGTCTGCCTAGCCCCTCGTCCTTTTCTTCTCCTCGCTTTGCCTTGCGTGACGTTGCTTTTCGCTTCTCTCTATTGACTCCGTACATAGTACATACGGATTGACATATTTCCCTTCATCTCGGATGCCCATCTCAATTATCCTTTCCTTTTACACCCTAAGATACCTCAGCACCCGGTCCTGCTGGGTTTCTACTCTTCCAACACAGTTGCCCTTCCTCATTCCTGCGCAGCATCCCTTTGGCCGCCCTTACCGACCGCCCTGGACCCTGCTCTGCTCCAACCTATCCAAGTACTTCGTGCATGAGGTATTAGCCCTGGGAGGCGATTCGGCGGCGAGGTAGAAGTGCGGCGTGCCCTGTGCTGACTCTCTCACATTGTGCCCGTCCGAGGTTACTGCACGAATTGTTGGTCCCGGGCTAAGAAGACCCAAAGCTGAACTACATTATTCATGCCTCTGCGCCATCCCATTGTCCGTTCTATTGTCATTGTCTGAATTTCGGGCATCGTTCATCTGCTGCCATCTCTTTTTCTCCAACTCATCCGACTTTCCATCCGTGCTTGTTCAGACTCAAGATCATCAACAAACATCAACAAACATCAGCAAACAACCCGATACTTCTCACAGAACTTCAAACGGCGTGACGTAGGCGGACGTTAAGTTTCCGACCTAGAAGAGCTTTCAATACTAAGACTACCACTGCGTAGTTCTGGGACACATTGCCTCATTCTGTACGTATTCTTCATTTCTTTCTCCCGCCTCTTCCCTTCTCAGACCCAACCTTACCCTACTCTGGACCGTATCTATGAGGTGCTATTCCTGTCCTCCCCCCTTCGTGTTCCCGTACAACTCTGGGCTGGTCGATACCTAGACGGCCTGGTTTGTCAGTCAGCCCTCCTCCCTCTTTCACAACCAGCCAAGGCTAGGCCTCCTTTGGCGCAAGTGTCCTTCTGGTTCTTGCTCGCTCCGAGGCGCTACAGAACCAGGCGCACCCCCTAGCAAGGCACCATTCACCATTGCCCACACATCCCACGCCAGTCCAACCTGAGCAAGGCCCTGGTCTACAAGTATTGCAGTACTGTACGAAACCACTAGATTGCCTTGTGTATATCCCTCCTTGGTGTGGGTGGGTGAGTGGGTTGAGTGGGTGAGAGAGAGCGGGTATGGTGGGCTGGTGCTTGTGGGATCCGCGCTGGGCTGTCTCTCGCAGTCTGAGGTGCCCTCTCTCTCTGTGCCCGGCGCTGGTGCGGCCATTGCATCCTGGTGCTTGGTGCTTGGTGCTTGGTGCTGCCCTTTTGGCCCCTCTGGGCGACTTCTTTCCGGGAACTCAGGTGGGAGGGATCCTCTAAGTCTGAGGTGCCCCTCTGCTCCGTACTCCTTTGCTTCGGCCTGCTGCCTCCGCCTCTTCCTCTCGTCTTCCAGGTTCCCCCGTCTTTGACTTACATAACAAGTCAAGCATGCCACGCACCACGCATTGCGCTGCCAAGGGCCCATTTCCAAACCCTCAACTCCATGCCTACCAGTATTCAACTTGATCAATAACTCATACACGCCGGTGGTTTGACATTTTTCTCCCCTGGAGCTGCTCCCACTAATCTGCTTTCTCTTCTCCTTGTCTTCAGTTTCTAGTTTGTCCATCTACGCAACGTCTTAGTCGGTTCCCCGCGCATCTTTGTCATTCGTTCCTATCCGGCACGCCGAGGAAGAAACACAACCAGCCCACATTCAACGACCGCTTCCTTTCCCCTTGCCTCCCTCACAACGAAGAAACACCTTGCACGACTACCAAGGCCAAAATCTTGTCCCCTTCCTTGTCCATGTCCTAGAACAAGCCTTTGGTATCAACAAAAAAAGAAGCGCTGTGTAGGGCTTACACAACAACCATAATATAGTTGGACCAAATCTGCCTCACATCGACATTCCTGCGACAAGAAAACATTCAGACACCCTGCTGTCCAGCTTTCGGCGATTCAATGGCAGCCACGACGGCTCCGACACCGCCCGTCATGACTCCGACTGCAAGCCCGAACCATCTTCGAAAACACATTTCCCCCGAGCGTATTACTTTGGGCGACGACGCCGGCCGCAAATCGGTGTCGGCAAGAATTCGGGACGCTCCCGCTTCTCCTGTCAGGGTGAACTTTCAAGCCGAGAACTGGGCCCAGCCATCCAATGCCAACATCGAGCTGGCACAACCCTACCAAGCAGAGTTTTCTACAGTTGATCGTTCCCGAGAATACAACGCCCCTACCCCTCCTTCGCATACCTCGGGCTACGACCAGGCTGAACGACAAATGCAAAGCCATGACAGAAATAAGCTGCCTCCTCTCAAAACGTCGAACTCCTACACTGCCGAACCCGATTACTTGAGTCCAGCCAGCTCTCTCACCCCCCACCAAAATGGCCATGATCAGGGCTACAGGCCGAAGCGGGGGACCCATGGATCGGACAGCTTCAGTGCTCACAGCGCAAGAGCTCAAGATGCCAATCGCCATAGTCGGGAATCGAACACCACCACTTCGAGCAACGCCCAACAGCAGGCATCGGCGCAGTCCTCTGCGACGACAAGCGCGAGCTCCGTCTCTGGCATCAACGAGTCATCCGAATACAAAGACGAGTCTCCCGAGAGCTCGATAATGGAGGGCAACATGCCAGAGAACAACTCTGTCCCCATGTTTCAGTACTACCACCATCAGGAGTTTCCTCCTCAGCGTGTCTCTAGTGTTCCTCAGGAGCTTGACGCTCGTCGTTCCTCTTCGAACCCCAGCCTCAACGCTGATGGAACCCCCGTCAACCGTCATCTGACGCCTACCGGTTTCACCAGAAGGACCTCCATGCCCCGACCTTCGTCGGCCTACTCTGCCATCTCGGATTATGCCCCCAGAGGGCGATCCCCAAATCTGATGCCTGGAGGATCACATATGCGGACACCATCAGGCACTCGCAGGTCCCCGGAAACGAGACCAGCATCATACGCGGAGCTACTGAACGTGCCGTACCCTCAGCCAGCACCTGCCCCGATCAGCTTTGATAACAACCAGTTGCGCAATGCCGTTGGTAACAATGCATCCCTCCTCGGAGCTCAAAAAACACTGGAGATGTATCGTCAAAACGTCAAGAAGACAAACGACTTTTCTATCCAATACTCTTTTGCCGTTTTCCTCATCTCTACCGCTCAAGAGCAAGGCCTGGACCCTAGCGAGCCAGCACCTCGCAAGGCAAACTCTAGCCCAAAGAATTCCGCATCATCAACTCCCTACGACCTCCTGCGAGAGGCAAAGGGTATACTCCAGAAGCTGGCCAGCGGTGGATACCCCTTTGCTCAATACTACCTCGCAGATGGATACGCCTCTGGTCTGTTTAGCAAAGGAAAGGAGGACTATAACCAAGCGTTCCCCCTCTTCGTTCTCGCCGCAAAGCATGGTCATGCTGAGTCCGCTTACCGCACGGCGCTATGCTACGAGTTTGGTTGGGGTTGCCGCAAAGATCCTGCTAAGGCTGTCCAGTTCCTCCGCATGTCTGCGTCGAAGCGTCACCCAGGCGCAATGTCCCGACTCGGCAAGGCTTGTCTCTCGGGTGATTTGGGAGAGAAGCGGTACCGCGAGGGTATCAAATGGATGAAGCTCGCAGCAGAGGCTGCCGATGCTGTCTACAGCGCAGCTCCGTATCAGCTGGCCTGCTTGTACGAGACGGGTTACGGTGACGACATCTTCAAGGACGAGGTCTACGCAGCAGAGCTTTTCACCGCCGCCGCAGAACTTGGCCACCCAGAGGCCAACTTCCGCATGGGTGAGGCATATGAACATGGGAAGCTCAGCTGCCCCCGCGATCCAGCACTAAGCGTGCACTTCTACACTGGTGCTGCTGAGCGAGGACATGCCGGTGCTATGATGGGTCTTTGTGCATGGTATATGGTCGGTGCGGAACCGATCTTGGAAAAGGACGAAGAAGAAGCTTACGAGTGGGCTCGCCGTTCAGCCGAGATGGGTAAGTTGAGAGACTTCTGCAAAATATCGACCGAATGAGGCAATAAGGCTAATCATATCTATGCAGGTTTCGTCAAGGCCCAGTACGCTGTGGGCTACTTCACAGAGATGGGCATCGGCTGCCGGCGTGACATCTTGGAGGCCAATGTCTGGTATGTCAAGGCTGCAGACGCAGGCGATGAGCGCGCGAAACAGCGATTGGCAATTATCCAGGCAGCTGTCAGCGGCGGCACCCCGATGGAAGTCGCCCCTCCCCGTAGTGGAAAGATCAAGAAGGGCGGCGAAGAGAAGGATAAGGACAAGGATTGCATTGTGATGTGAGGAGTCACACTCAAGGAGCCGTATCGACGGGATCACACCAAAACACACCGGCGTTGGACAGGAGGTCAAGAAAATTCAACTTCACTAATAATGACGAGGAGGGGCGCCTCTATTTCCGGAGAATGTTCAAGGGCTGACTTTTGCCGACGTTACTCGACGGTTGGATAACGGACAAGAGCCGTTTCAATTGGCATATCACCGGTTTTCTTTGTTTTCTCGCACCCATGGGCATCTACAAAAGAGGATTGGAACTATGGGCGGGTGTTGACGGGATGCAGTGAGGGGAGTCGCTGCGCGTTGAAGAAAGGGGCAAAGCATGTCTGTCTCGACGACCCAAAGACTATTCATCTTCCCGTCTCCCACCAATTTTCGGTCTTTTCGTTTTGTTTCTGGTCTTTTTTCTTCATCCAAGGCGGGGGCTTTCATGAAACTGCATTTGCATCGCATGAGAATCCGGGCACAAACGGGTGCTTCATGATCTAATCATGGTCGGAATTTCTAGCCTGGGAATTCCATTGAACAAGGCGTTTGGAGAGGAGGGAAACACATTGCGATTCAAGACAGACAAGAGTTGCGCGGGTGTGTACACGCCTGGCTGAGCCTTCAGAGGAGCCTGTACATACGAGATACCATAATCCCCTGTCTCGGACAGGCGTTTTTGAGCTTTGTAATCCTGTGTTTGATGAGTGACTTGCGAGAATCAGACGATGGCGTTCACAGCGGTGATGGCTGTCAGGTTTCTGGTTGATCCCGGCTCTTTGGGTTGTTTAGGCCACTGAGTGCCTCGTTCATCAATTTTCGAGACAGGTTTCCCTTGAGAGGTCCCTCTCAACTTGCGTTACGTGTTCGTCTGTACTCGGCCGAACCTCTCTAGGGTTTTTTTTTCCCTCGCGGTGATTCAGAATCCGGTCCAGCGTCAGAGGCTCCTCCATTGTGGATCATCGCCGTTGCGTATACACACGAAAGACGTGTGTCTTTTGATGCCTCAAGTTTTGGCGTGTGACGTGCCAAGACTAAGCTTGATTCAAAGTAGGCCCGATGAGGCGTTGATGAGAAATATCCCACCCTCCTCCAGCTTTGGTTTCTGGTTTCCCCTTCTCAAGCTTGACATCCCATATAGGTGAAATGTATGGGGATGAGGCGCCCGGGTTTGAGTTTGAGAGACGTTGAACTTGTGGTCTTTGCTTTTCGCCTTGCGGCGATACTGCGGCCGCGCCGCGTGTCATTGAGGTTGCAGGCGACAGGCGTGTAAGAGATTTTGAGAAAGCTCGGGGCGCACACATTTCTTTGTTTGACTCGTCAGACTCGTCAGCGTTTTCTCCCTGTTGACATGGCGTCCCTTTCTTCGGATTGTGGGAGGAAACGGATAAATTGAGGGCGCGCGCGGCTTTTGTGACTTGGTTGGGGGAAGGGAAAATATGTTCTGCGACATTTTTTAGGGCTGAGATCTTTGTTCTTTCAAACAGAATGGCTTTCCGTGGTGTGTCGTTTGTTTCTGAGATGTTTTGGTCTGGTTTGCCTTGTATGGTGGTCTGTGTAGCGAGTCTCTTGCGAACATGGTGTTCGGTAGCTTGCCGGGTTGTGTGTAATTGTAACGGGTTATGTATTGTTGCTCTTCTACATCTGTATCTGTTGCAAAGCTCACGGATATTGCCCTGCACTCATTCATCGCCAGGAAGTCCTGCATCAGGCAGTTCTCGGCGGAAGTACATTGCTTAGGATACTGCGTCTGAACCTGAAAGAAGTGATAGATGTTGATTAGGTCCGGGAAAGCATCATCGTGTGAGCTGTTCAGAGTAGCGCCGTGTCTTTCCGGAGGGTAGACGATCTACCCTTGAGGAGACTTCTTCATTACGTTGATATGACGAACCTTCCAATGGTAGTTGTCATCTCGTTGGGTGCGAGTGCACTTCAATCGCAACAACTACCTCTTTCCTAACCACGACGATGATCTAGGTCACGGTCTGTCAGCTTCTGAGATGTCACGGCAGCAATTGTTATTGCCACCTAAGACGAATGATCTCAGCGTGAAGACCGCGTCTGCTTATTTCTCATCTATCTTTGCTTGGTGTAGAATGCCTGCAGCCTGTTCTCCCTAGGAATTCGGAGGCACGGCTGTTATCAACGTCGCAATAAAGTGTCCAACCTCTAGTTATCATGTCAGAGAAGAACATCCAAGAACCGTTGCATAAAGACGAAATTGGAAGATCCTAAGTGTACTCCATGGGGAAGCTGCATTTGAGAGAACCTTCTCCTTCTATCCCAACAGACGGATCACTGACGAAACATTTGTTTCCCAACAATAGCTGATGTGCAATATAGATGCCTCAAGATCAACCAATGGCCCACGTGATACTTGAGACGGTTCTGACTGGATACTATATCTCACTGCTTGACGTAAAACGACCTTAGATACTCTTCCGCCGCGGCCTCTCCTGAGGCGAGCCCCTGTTCTTTTGCCCACTCCTGGTACTCTGGCGTTTTGAAAAACTCCTTATAGTCAACACCTCCCTCTTGATCTACCCAGCTGAACTTGCCGTGTTCGTCTAAGAAGTTTCCTATTGGCAATCATCAGCAATAGTCAATTTGGTGCTGGGACTGCTCGAAGAGTGGTGAACAGAGGAGACACGTAGGAGTTTCACGCCGCGACCACCGCAAACTTACCGTAAATTGGATGCTTCGTGTCTACACAGATTTTTATCAGCCATTCTCATTATCCTAATTCCAGTTTTGCTCACCTGTAAATTGAGATATGGAAGTAGACTTTCTCACGGAATGCTCTGAACCCCAGTCCATCAACTGTGACCAGTCGGCACAGGTACGTTCGACACCGTCCCAGTTAATGACCGAGTGGAAATCGTGGAGAGTCCAATGAAGTAGAACGGGGGTCAAATCTGCCTGGCATTTCACGGACTCCATGATATGATGGAGACAGTGTCCTGAGGCAAAGTCGGAATCAGCTACAAGTTCTCTCACATATTTGTACATCAATGCCGCCGGGATCCAGTCCGGACTCAAGCACGCATTCTTCTAGGACTTCAACTGACCAATATGACTCTTCTGAGTTGCATCCTCCTTCTCCGTGGTATTGGGAGTGTAATAGTACTCTCTATGCGCAACCTGGTACAAATAGTTCTACAACGGAGTAAGACTTTAGCATTCGAAACGTCGCCGGGAGAATGGTCATCGAGGCTTACGATGCAGTGTAAGTTATGCACCATAGCAAGGCCCCCAAGACTTCAATACAGTCAGCCAGATCGTACTGCCAACAAAAACGTTATCCTTGTATGACTACTTACTAGCCGCCTTCTCCATCGTTGAAAGGTATCGCGTCTGCCTCCATGCCAAGTCGGTGTACCTCGGATTCCGGGATTCGGTTGGCAAACGCTGCGATTGATTAGTGAACCGGTGTCGAGGCTCCAAATCAACCGACACCAAGGGCTTGCCTGAAAGTAATGCAGACCAGTTTGCATCTACCTCTGGGCTCGGGTTGCCCAAAAGTGGGTGGTCATGACCTGGCGTCACTGGATTTACGGGCTGTGGGTTGAACTCAACCTTGTCCTGGAAAGAGAGACGGTCTAGTCAGTAAAAGAAACAACAATAACTCAAGAATTGCTCCGAAGTTGTTTAACATACCCATACATGTACCGTGTCTGGTGTAGTGAGTCGCGGGCAGAATGGCTTGTAGATGACTTCACGGGCATAGTAAAGTACTGCCCACGTATAAATTGCTAGGATGAGGAGTGAAGCAAGTATTTGGAGTGCTCTCCTTAACTTTGATGTGCCTCTACAGGAGTTCCATTTTCTCTGATCCAAGGGGTATTCTTCGTGGTCGTCGTCGGTCTTCACGTCCTCGAAACCGTCGTCAGAGACCGGCTTATACTTGACTGCAGGTGTTGTAGACATGTCTTGTGTGGTCGTTGTTTCACAAGCGCGCTGCGGGCAGCATTAACGATAGTCGGTACGGAATAGGTGAGTTCGTCAAAAGAAAGTACGAGTGACCGCGCTGCCACGGAAGGGGAGACATTGTCAATCTGGAGGAGGCCGGCCGGCCATATCTGATGGTTTGTACAGACTGCTCACGAATCTCTGCGTGGGCAGTAATACTTGGTGAATCTTTCGCTTCTTAAAACTACTCTAAGAGAGCCCCTTGGTGTAGAATTAGCAGTAGGCGAAAAAGACTCCCACCGGATGCGAGAGGCTATGCCACAAAGGTGAGAGGCCCGGAAGATAGAGTTCATCAGATATCAGGTGGCTAGGAAGACCGTCACATCATGATCCTGGGGCGGGAAGTATCCTCACGCCAAGGCTTGTTGACAGCAGATGGAACGTCAATCTTGTACCCTGGTATCATGAACACACCCCAAGAATTAATTCTGCCTCCTCCGTGCCGTTACTCCGATCTCCAAGCCTGGGTGTGGGTTTGGTGGATGCTGGTATTACCAGAAGGTAACGGTGAACCCTCCTTCGATAACCGGTCTAGACCGACTGCCTGGGCAGTCTTCGTCCTGCCACCTTTGCCTGACTTGACTGACGCCGGCCTCTTCGTCCTTGAGGCACCCTTCAGAGTCTCCTGTCTCAGTCAACCTCAGACTCGAGAATCCCTAGACGTGCTATTTGCTGCCACACCTAGACTTGCACACTTTAGGAATCTTCACACCATGTCGTCTCTTTCTGAAGATGCGAAGCCCTTCTTACCGAGCGAAAGTGGCGATTCCAGTTTCGACTTAGCCCCGGCTGAGAGATCGAGACTGCGGCAAGACCGATCGACTGAGTCCCGCTGGCGAAGGAGACTCTGGGTCAGCCATGTTATCTTCTTGGGATTCAACGTTGCGTTCCTCATCTACAACATCAGTGATGTTGGGAAGCACATCGGGCCAGAGGCCGCAGTGCTCGAAAGAGCCTACTGTGAGAAAAGTTCCCTTCGCCTAGTACCATGGTCATGCAATGATACTGATATCGAATGTCGTAGCACCGGCACAGATGGCTATTCGTTATACAGTCAAGGAGGAAGCCCCTATGTTGCCCGACAACGTGCTCACCGGTCCGCCCGGCCCTGAGGCTGACAAGGCGTGGGAAGAACTTGAGAAACGTGAGTTCAACGCCACAGCTCAGCATTCGCTACATCAGATCCTAAAACTTCCATGAAGCATTCATGCTCAGGTTCTCCGAAGATGAGATGAACAGAATGCAAAAGACCTCGCTCGCCCTCAAAGACGGAAGCGGGTATATCGGTTATTTGGAGTCTTTCCACATGTTGCATTGTGTTGTAAGTGGCGTCTTCCTTGATTTACCATTCCCGAGAATAAATTCACCTTCTTCGCTGTCACGTCACTGACTGGCCAACAGAAGAGTGCTTGGAAGTCCCAATACATGGATCACTATGGCAGTGGACATTCGACCAAGCCCGGTCATCTAGCTCATTGTCTCAACGTACTCATCCAAGGTATCATGTGCAACGCAGACACATCGATCGGAACATATCATTGGAAAGAAGGGGGGACTATCAAGGGTAAGGAGATGATGGACATTGAGGCTAACAGGACCGGACATCGCCAATGCACCGACTTTAGCAAGCTTCAAGCTTGGGCTACCAAGCGAACTCTTGACTTTGATGTCCACGATACTGACAAGTTTCTGCGTACCTTGAAGCCGGAACACTAGGGTCTGGTAAATAGCATCGTTGTTGATACTTGGAGGCACGAGCGAAAAGACGTTCAAAGATCTTCGTTCATGGCCACATCTCCATTGACTCTCAGGAATAAATGTAGCTAGATACAAGTCTGAACAGTTACCAGCCCTGGATAATGAGATCGTTGCGATATCTTCCAGGAACCGCAGTCAATGTGACTTATGAATTAGATACGCTGACCAAAACACAGCGATGCTGGATAGCCGAAAGATCCAGGCTACACTGTCCTCGACCCCGAGAACCTTTAGAACTGCCAAGATGACTGCGCAAACTAGAGTTGAGCCAATTTGAGGGAGAGATATCGCCATGTTGTGCAGTCCTAGGATCCATGCAACCTCGCTGTCCTGCTTTCCAACGGATAGCTCAGAGATCTCTGCGCTGATCAAGGCAAATGGAGCCCACATCGTTACGGCAGCCGTGGATCCCATCATGGCGACAACGATGGCCGCCGTGGCTCCGCTGCGTGCGACAAAGGTGAGATGCATGCAGTATCCCAAGAAGCACTGCGATGCAAACCAGACTCTGGGGAGGTTGCGAGAGAAGGCCGGCTTGTAGCGGTCAAGTATCTGAAGCGAAATGCTCGCAGCGAATGCTCCTAATGCGAAAGCAAAAGAGGCAAAGAAACCAAAGTCCTTTGCACTTTCGATGAGTTCTAGATCTGGTTCCCCAAACTGCCTTTGCCTTTGCTCGAGTTTGTCAGAAAGGGCTGGGAGATGTTAGTATTGGAAGTACTTCAACAGTTCTGGTCTTCTACCTGTCTCATAAGCGAACCTGAATCAAGTCCACGAGTTAGTCACTGGGCGCAAAAGTTTTTATAGGAGTCGGACGCTGCTTACGTTGACATGTAGTATAAAACAGGAAACCATCCTGCCCACGCCCAGAATTGGATCTCGCAAACCCGGCGGCTGCGTGGAGGGATTTGTTTCCACCGTTTGGCTAGCCCTGTCGGTGAGATGATGGACCATGACTGTTGCGCAAAAGAGGGCTGGCGGTCACGCAAAGGTGCGACGTTCTGGTCAGTAATGAAATAGCACGTGAGACCGACTGTCGTGAAGGTACAAGCTGCAACCACAACGGCGAGTAACTTGAAACGGTCATCGCTGTTTACATCAGTCGAGGACCACTGGGCATCCACAAAGCCAACAGAAGAGAGCACCACGTTTCCTAGCACGTTCCATCGCATGGCCCAGGAGGCTGCGACAGACTGTTGACTGGGAGGGGTGTTATCTACTATCAGAGCCCTGACGCCGACTGCGTATGCCTGCAGAGCAAAAGTAGTGACAACGACTGAGAAGACTGCAAGAATCTGCGTCGGTAGGTGCGCCGAGCTGGCGGAACGATCAACACTGGCACTCCATGCCCAAGCTGTGAGTTCCTCTGAGTACGCCAATGCTAGCAGAAAGATAGTTGCGCACAGCGAACCTCCTACGATGAATGGCTTCCTTCTACCCCAGGCGTGTTGTGAATCGTCGCTCAACACACCGAGAATAGGCTGCGCAAAGGCGCCAGATATAGGACCGGTGACCCATACCAAGGATATAATGGATTTGGGAATGCCTAGTGAGATCAAGTAGGGCTTTGAGCTATTCGTCAGTCACTCAGCTGGGGTTGGGTTGGAGGGGAAAAGACTGACAGTGCCGCTCGAAGTCAAAAGAAACCAACACACTTGAAGGCCTAGACTAGGAGACGTGAGCAGGAGCAAGCCTGAAAGCTTGAGCAAGGTGTGCTTCTGGGGAATTTCTTCCCCAAGCTCTGCTAGTTCTAGGTCCTCTGTGCTAGACGCAGATCCGGGAGAGTAGAGACCCCCTGAGGTCGGTTCGCCCACTGTGACACGAGGCATTTCCTGTATGAACAGGATGAGGTGAGTGACGCTGCCTCCTGTTCCACATTGATCGGAGTTACTTGCAAGAGCTCAAGGTTGATTTGTTATAGTAGAAGATGTAAGCATGACCTGGTGTCGCCGAGTCCTCGCCGGAGACCGCTGTCTTTTTCCGGCGTGGAAGAGCCATGCGCTTCCTAGCCCTGGTCAATTACGGATAGATACTTTGCTGCGGAACACTCCGGCGGCAACGGCGTCATGAGTCGGATGCACATGCTGGTTGCCCCTGGAGTGTGTAGCGTGTAACTTCTCACTTTCCTCAGTCCTTCTTTCATGTCCACGTATTACGCATATTACCCATGCGAGCGGGTACCTTGTAAACTCTGTTTATCAACCGAGTTCCTTGGCCCGTTCTTGCCGACGAGCCACCCTTGTCAGGATCAGCACAGTGCCTGATGGATGGGGCTGGACATAAGATTGGAATTCTATGATGAATGATACTGCCGATATGGCTTGATTGGTAAAGGGAGCGGGCACTTGTGTATCGAATAAACGCTGGTCAGTGGTGCCAACGATCTTCTCGAGTTCCAAGGCATGTATCCGCCAACTTTGCCCTCCATCAAGAACAACGCTTACATGGCACATTACTCCGAACCAACACACGACTGCTACCGCTGATGGTATCGCCAAAGCTAGACTCTTGACATCTCAGTATGTCAGATGGTCACGCATCGGTAAGCTGGTCTTCTCTACCACGAAAAGACCAGCTATTCCTACTTTTCATGATACGATTCAGTGAACCAGTCGTCAGGGTTTCTATCGGAGCGTACATCTACTACCAACTAAAATCACTTGATCCATCATTATCCAGTGCTGAAGTGATTACACAATCCGCATATCTTCAGACGGCTTATACTATTGCGCAAGCTATCTCATCTTTGCTATGGGGCGTGGTATCGGATTCTCCCAGAGGGGGAAGGAAGCTAGTTGTGCTAACGAGTTTGTCTGGATCATGTAAGTCAACACTGTAGTGATATCACATATGGGTTGCGAAAGATCCATCTAATTTCTGATGTCAACTGACTTTCTAAATGTCATGCACAGTCATAAGTTGTGCGCTGTTTGGTTTCATCACTAGCTTCAAGCAGGCCGTCTTCCTTCGAATTTTTGAGGGGATAACCAATGGGAATGTCGCTATGGTGAGAACGATGGTCTCCGAAGTTGTTCAGGAGAAGCGGTAAGTTGTTTCCCATTATGGAGGATCAGAAATATAGGATTATAAACAACCAAGACTGACCGACATACTCAAAATAGTTTCCAAGCCAGGGCTTTTGCACTATTACCAATTGCTACTCGAATGGCCATAATTATCAGCCCACTCGTGGCAGGTTGGAC